GAGACAATTTTGGTCACTCTGGATTGCGAAGGTTTTTTTTAGATCTGTCTATTTGCTTTTAGTGACGGTGGTGTGTGAAACTGTGGCGAATCTAATTATTTTCCTCTTTTTGTGATTCTCTTACACGAAATCTATTAGTACTAGTTATGTAATAATTCCTTTATTATTTTGGTTATTACAGAACAAAAGAAAGAGAAACAATGAATGCATTCACATGACAATTTATGAGATTGAATTGCCCCGAAATATATTATTGAAGACAAAATTAAATGTGAGTATGCGACACAAATCATATATATGAAAGTTGGCCAACTCTCTCCATATGAGTGCCACATCATCATATAAGAAAATGACATATGTCATTCTATATTAATTAAATTAAAAGATTAGTATAATTAATTGAAGGAAAATCAAAAGTCTTTTGTTATTTTAAATCTTTCACTAATATCTCTCTTAATTGATTTTTTTAAAAAAGTAAAAAATTATACTAATGTATCAAGCACTACTTTCATTCTACCCTTTTTATTTTATTAAATTTTTTTATCAATAGTCACTATGGCTAAAAAAATTACTTGTGTTGTACTTTAGATGTTTGATACATAACTTCATATTAATTTAGTAATTTTCTTTTGAATATTTTTTATTAATTACGTTTTGTAAATATGACTTATCATATGACCTTCTCTCTTTTCATTTTTGTCCGTTATGATAAGTTAGTAACATTGACATACAAGTTTTTTCACGTAAGATTCCTTTGAGACGTTAGACATACTAATAAATTTAAAACATGAGACTCTCTCTATGGCTATATGCAATGGGAGAGGTCTAAAGTGTTGACTTAAATTACTAGCATATCATGATATGGTTGGCATACTAGATGACGAGAGAGTACATTGAACAAGTTTCAAACTACATAAGTAACATAACTACATACCATTGTATCAATTTATCATATACTTGTTGTTTTATGTATCCATGATAGTGAAAGATTAGGATCGTAGGTATATAAATAATCAGATTTATACGTGAAAAATTAGAATTGATATTTCGAGTCAAAGATGAATCTAATCATACAAATTATGACTATATAAAACAGATCTGACTTTATTAAAATGAACATAAAAACAACAAAACCATAATCATATTTATTTCTGCAATTTTTTCAAAACAAAAATCCACGCGTAGCGTGGGTATTCATCTAGTAAGTTTAACATCTGAATTCTAAAATCTGAACCATCAAAAACTATCTAACCAATTATGTGTGGAAGGGGAAGAGAAAAGTCTTACTTGCAAGTCAAATTATATACCGATTGTAATAACGTTTGCAAAACACACTTTTTATATATGTGATTATACATTTCATTTCCAAATCCTCTTATAAAGGTTCAATTTGAATCACTCTATATTTTTAACCTTTATCCAATTCACCATGAACTTATTAGAAACTTTCTAATTCCATCAAAATCATCTCAATTAAAAAAATTCAATTAATTTTGTCAATTACGATTTAAAATCCTTAAACCGCGTTCATTGTTTCGCGTTTATGATATAGTTCAAATTGTCTTATGAACTACTCTCTCAAATAAAAAAAAATCACTCTAGCACTTAAGGGTCGAATTCCATAAAACTCTTAGATCACACAATAGATAACTAGTTTTGAAATAAAGCTAAACAGAACATAACTGAAAATTAAAATTGCAGAGAAATCAAAATCAAAGTAAATTCAGATGAGGAAATATTTTGATTCACAGAAGTTCTCATGAAAATTCAGAATTGTAAATTAACTAAATTGTTGGGAGTTAATTAATAACTAGTTATAGAACTCTGACCACGAAGGTAAAGTCAATCAACTCTCGTTGCAGAGATTATCTATGTCTAAAATTTAGAATTCCCGATCTCTTTGCGAATACTAAAAATTAGACAAGCATTAATTTTAGGTTTTGATTAGTTTACAAAAATCTATAAACCAAATCTCTTTGCGAATAGTAATTTTTGCTCACCTAAGATATTTCTGGAAAATTACACTCTCTTGTCAATTAATCTTACGATCGATTTTTAGGTCGCGAATCAAGAATAAGCAGTAAGAATAGTCCTAGATGAAGAACTCTATTGATTTAGCCTAACAATTCAATCAGATCTAACAATTCATCATAAACCCTTGAAAATCCCTAACCCTAACAAACCAACTATCGAGACTTGAAACAAACAACATGGTTGAGTAGAATTTAATAAAAGATATAAGAGTTTAGAATATATCTGTTTGGAATGAATGGATTTTATTGATAATATTAGAGTAAATACAAAGAAATTCTCATATTTACAAGGTGTTGATGAAAGTCTAAATCTGGTCGTGGAGCTGATAAGTAATGCCTCTCTAGATCAGTCTGCTCCACGATCCACCCAACTCCTCTCCCAAACTTCAGGTCTTCTTCAAGATCCTCTCTTTCACTCATCTTCTACTCTTCTCAGCAAGGAGCAACCTACTCTGGGCCAGTAGGCCTCAATGCTGTTTTGTAAAGGCCTAGCTGTTAGGGAATAATGCAAAGTTGTACAAAAGAGTAATACACGAAAGCTGTACAAAAAAACAAAGCAGAACAAATTTTAAAAATTTAATCTGATTGGAAACATTATAGCGGCACAAATATTAAATAATATTAAAAGTTTAGAAAAATAAAATAAAATTTTTTACATAGAAATGTACTTTAGTATATAACTACATATGAAAATTTAAAATTATGTGATGACAATTAAATGGTTATGAAAATATTAAAATTATACAGAATGAACAATATTTTAATTTTAGAATAATAATATGAATTTACTAGTCCTATAATTAATAAAAATATTTGCTTACTTATTATAAAATAAAAACATTATTTAGTAAAATTAATTTTAGTAATTTTTTTCATCTTAAATACAATGTCTCATACATACATATAGAAATTAAACATACACAAACATATAAAAATTGAAATTAGGTATGAGCTTCCCATAACAAATATGCTATTTGATTAAGTACATCTTCCATATATGCTCCACTTCTCGATGTTTCCACTTCTTCTATTTCATTGACCACACTTACATCTACATCATGCTGTCCATTATCATTTTCATTTTCTGCATCGGTCTCAAAATCATCATCAGCAATATTGGAACGCCAAATGTAATTATGAAGACCCATTATAACATGCACCATTTTTTTTTGAATTTCTAATTTGTATCGCGGTAACTCTTTCACGACCCTCCATTTTTTTTTCCAGATTCTAAAAGTTCTTTCAATAACAGAACGAAGTGAAGCATGCCATTTGTTGAACAATTCATGCTTATTTCTTGGAGGTGGACCATTCTGAAATTGCCCTAAATGATACCTCACCTCTTCTTGTTGGTTGCTCCGGTAAGGAGCTAAGTAACCCTTTCGGTTTGCATATCCAGAGTCAACTAGATAATATTTACCTGTTGGAGGTTTCAGAAATCTTTGGCTATTCTCTTGTGCTATCGATAAAACTCTAGAATCATGTAGGGAACCCGGTGCTCCATTCCATATATATGTGAAAAGCAAGTCTAAATTACATATCACCCTAATATTTAGGCTTGTTTAACCAAAACAATCCCAATAAACTCTTCGATTTTCTGTGGTGCTATGACGGGAACATGTCTTCCATCTATAGCACCTATCAAACTTTTGAAAAATGGCCAATACCTTGGATCATAACGAAGACTGCAGGGATACTCTCTAAGTTGCTGGGACGTTAGAGTCTTTATTTGATCACACGCAAATCGCTCCATCGCATTTAACACTTCATGAAACTTCCGATTAACTGTCTCTTGGTTATGTCCGAAATTTCGGGCTACAGTATGTTGAACCTCATTATGACCACATGTGGAAAGAAACATTGCAACACTTTCATCAATGCTAATATTTTCTGTTGGTGTTAAGCCATACTCGTTTTCCATCAGCTGACACAACTTTTGGAATTTTCCTCGGGTCATCCTTACTGCATGTAAGCATGATGCATCATCACGTTCAATTTGACGTTTAATATTTAACCAACCTAATCACCCTCCCACTTGCATGGGTTGTCGATAAAAATATTGTTCATAGTATTGCATCGTTGGTTGAATAAGTACCCCATCGACTTCTTCGTCTTCAAGCATAAACAATTCACATAATTCTTGGTCTGTTAGATTATCTAGTCCACGAGAGTATAACTCTTTCATCCGATTTTCCTGGCCATTAAAAAATAAGTTAAAATCAGTGGTAAATGATGCGTGTTTTATTTCGCCTCAAAGTTTTTCCTTTGAGACTACACGAAATACTGCAAGTGCACAGTTAATCGGATGTAGTATTTAAGGATCGATTTCATAGAGACTTATAAGTACGTTACGAATTCAATGGAAAGGAATATGTCTAAGACAAACAAAAGAGAGGGGTTTGGTTTTTGGGTTGTCATTGAACTAAACAGAAAATAAAGCTAATTAAATGATGAAAGATATCAATAAACGAGAAGTTGGGTTTCAAGGATTTCTCAGGGTATCACAGATCGGGTTATTCTAGGGTTTTAAACAAAGGTAAACTACCTATGCTTTTTAAACAGTTCATGAACTACGAAACACTTATGTAAAACCGTTTAGCTTATGACTAAACGACTATCTAAGTCTAACAACTCCATTACTAAACTAACGCATGCAACTACGAGATTAAACCAGCATGATTAACGAGTTCGATTATGGTTCGTAAAGCCCTATAACTAAGTGGTGTGTGCTTGTTATAACACGATACTCACATCTAGGCTAGTGAACGCGGGTTTATACACTTGTGATGCATAAAACCACCTAAGATCAATTGCAGGTTAATTACTCAAGCAATATGCATTAAGAACAAACCTAGAACGAAGAACAAGATGACCTAAATATAGATCTAAGAAACCCTAGAAAACAGATCCATGAATCCCCTTTGAAACCCTTATACCAAACGATAGATCTACTCACACATACTCAAAGAACACAACATCATATGATTAAGAGATTGCATAAAAGAGTATTAGTATAGAAAAAGGGTTTAGAGATCTTCTCTGGAAATCCAGAGTTTAGGATTCTTCTTCCTTAAACAAGTAGAGAACAGAGAAAAGAGATGAAGAGAAGGGTTGGTGATGATCGGCGGCTTCAACGGCGGTGGCAAGAGGAGGTCGGAGGAGAGATCGGTGAGGAGGCTTCTCTGGTCGTCTATGAGAGGCTGCTGGTGATAGAGGTCGAAGACACACCCTAATTAGGGTTTAGAACATGTATTTATAGGCCTCGGGAAGGAACAAGTCGGTTTAGGGTTTTCTCGGCAAAACTACGTAGTTTCATTAAGTGTGGGGACGAGACAGCTCAGCCCGGTAAAGAGGCTCCATGACCGGGCTCACCAAGAGGCACCAGACCGGTCACGTTGGGTTGTGACCGGTGCCACCAAGGGCTTCACCACCGGTCGCACGCCTTGCGACCGGTCTCTGACAGGCTGACTTCAATCGGCTTTAACTTCTGTTTGGAAGCTGGGATTGAGTTGATTCTTCCTTCATAGTAATCTTGACTCTTCCAGCTTTCCATAGAGTACATGATCTTCAAATTTTCTTCACGGGAAGGCCTCCAACGGACGCCTAACTTCTGGAGCTTTGAATATGTCATGAAACGGGTTTTGCTCGTCTTTTGGTCCATTTTGCTTAGAAACTCCTAAAACCTTCTGGACTTCATAAATACTTGAATATCTCGTCTTTAGCCTTGAAATCACACCAAACACTTCCTAAAACATCATAAAACAATAACAAATATGGGCGAAAATCCCATGTTATCAGTAAACAAACATACATTAAACATAAATTTTTAATCTAAAATTTTTAATACAAACATTCATAAACGACATAAACATTTGATATTATATATTCAATGTCTCGAGATATCAGTTGGATTGTTTGATGTTCTATCATCCATAAAATTCAACTGTCGTGGCTGAGTACCAATTGTAGATGGTACACCAAACCAATATCCAGTATTAGTTGATCGTCGATTTGACGTTACAAAACCAGGAGAAAAATTTGTTCTTGTTCTTGATTAGTTTCTCCCATTTGTCTAGCTGAAATTCAACCCATCGATGATGATGCCCCAACATTAAAGACTCCAGGAGATCCTGATGTTTGCAACATTTGTGTAGCAGGCGACAAGGCTATAAAAGGATAACCACCAAATCCTTGAGGAAACATCATCGGAACATATGGCACACCCACCATCTGTCCGGGCATGTTAAATCCTTGCCCTGGAGATGAAAAGAATTGTCCCATAGCGGGAGATGGTTGAAACTGTGGAAATTTAGCAAACCTATATTCAGAGTTTTCGGATGAATGTCCCAGAGAATTTCCTGAAGAATATCCTACAGAACTTCCTGATGATCGCACACTTCCACCGCTAGAACCACTTAAAAAGGATCCAAAGTTTGCCAAATTTTAAGGAGTTACGGTTTCCAACCGATCCAGCTCAGTTATACTTTCCAAAAATCGGATTCTATCTTCATCTGACTCAAAAGAGGTGTCTAAAAATGCATTACACCACCATGCATCGTCCTTAAGAGGCTTCGCTGAGGCTTTCCAAAACGGTATGTACTAATTCAATATAGCAAATGCTTCTTTAAATTTTGCGTATTCTTCAGGATTGTACCTATCATGTCGCATAGCTGATACAGTTGCACGTCATGCATCTGCTATGGTAACCGAGCTTTCGAATTGATGCTTTCTACGGTTACTACGATCTTTTCTACCAACAAATAAACTCGTGAATTACTTCTTCGCTGACTACTTTCTCTTCGTCCGGCACTGTATGGCACAGCACAGGCAGTATTTCTACCTGAACGATTCTGGATTTCTTTTGCCGATGCAAATAGGATATCTACATGTGTTTCGGGTGCTGCATCCTCATCAGTATTTTCGTCATGAGTTTGAGGAATCTCGTTATTAGCATAACCATCCTCATCAAAACCACCACTAAAATCAGCTCTTTAATCTTCTTCATGCAGTTCTCTACGTGCTCCATCAACATCATACATGTGTTCAGTTGATACAACATATTGTCCACAAATACAAGCCAAAATTGTTCTACTCTCCTGAAAAAAAAAATTAAGATTTTTTAGATACACAATTTTAACATCTAATTCAAATTAATACAAAATAGAATACATACCGCCTCACGTAATTGCCACCAATCGTCATCCATACGGATAACTCCAGTTCTGCTATCCGAACTTAAACCTATTTTATCCATTAGATCGACCCATTCTTTGTAATTTCCCTTCAATGTATCTATCTTGTTGTTGACCTTTATCCAACCATCAACATGTTTACCCGTCCTCTTTAATAGTTCGCTCATAATATGATTTTGATGTGGTTTTTTAAGACCATATGTATTATAGTCTACTTTTGCAAGCTCGGCTTCATATAGTTCAAGCATAACACTCTCTTCATAAGAAGACTAGTATTCTTTCTAAAAAATGTGAAATATATTTTTATGCATATATATATGAATGAGTCATGTAAATGAGATATAAAAATTATTTTATTAAATATATTAGTTATGGAATATATATAACTTACATTCTTTCGTCGACGTGAAGAACTAGATCCTTCATTAGCATTAGACATACTGTAGATAAAATATTAATTACGACAAATCAGTTTAATACAATTTTAGAAATAATTTAGATTTAGCAATAATAAATAATACTAATTATAATAGTACAAATACCATCTTATAAAATTATTTTTACATTTTAACACATATGTAATCATTTAAATAATAATTATTATATCATAACATAACATGAATGTGTTATATACGACAACTATATATAAATTAAATTAAAATTATATCCACATAATTATTTTTACCGTAATTATAAATTAGCAACATATATGTATCATAGACAATTAATTATTACATTGATCGTATATAACTGAAACTGAAATAGTATCTGCTACTTTATTTTTCTTCAAATTGTGATGATAAATGAAAAAAAATCGTTTGCGGAAAAAAAAAATCAAAAACAACTAATTTACATACTTTGCTTCATGCTTCTATATATAAGAGAAGAAAGTTTTATTTTCTGATATTTATTTTATTAATAAAATATTTGTTCAAATAAAAGGAAAATTTGATCAACCAATAGCATTGAGAGTTTGTGATTCGCATTATCTCTCAACATCAGTGATTGTTTTTTTTGTCTGAATTTTAGATAAATGACTGTTGAAGATAGTGGAAAGATAAGTTTTAAAGGCTTTTTTTTTTTTTTGGTTTTACATAAATAATGGTTGAAGATAGGCATGACCACAGTTATGGTTATTAGGGTTACGGTTGATTAACCAATGGTTACGGTTATAAATTTTTTTTAACCGTCACCTTAATCACTATATATACGGTTAAAATGGTTACGGTTAAATACGTTTACGGTTATATACGGTTATGGTTATATGATGATTATAATATAGTTAATATCGGAGACGAAATCTTACAATTTACGTAACTTTTTATACTACTTTTAATAAGATGGAAAAGTATGTTATAAACCAACTTTTCTTCATTTGAGCAATATAACATTACAACAAAATTATTTGAGAAAGAACTATTATTTCTAATGAGATTTTTTCATATGCGGTATTATTTACTTTTTCAAAAATCTTTATCTGAACATTCTGTATTTGTTTTTGCATTATACATAATTACAATTATAGTTTAAATAACATTTTTGATACGTTTACGGTTAATTAGCGGTTACAGGTTAGTATATATTTTTAACAGTATCCAATCTAGTTTTACGGTTAACGGTTATGGTTTTTAACCGTTTAGACAGTTACAGTTGAGAAATGGTCCCGTTACGGTTCAAAATACGGTTACGGTTAGCTTTTGATCATGCCTAGTTGAAGATAGTGGAGAAATAAATTTAATTTGATACAGTTTTTATTATTTTGAACTGTTTTTATTATTTTGAACAGCTTTTTATAAATTTTTATTGATTGGTAACAATAATATTGTACTGCTTTATAATTTTTCATCAATCATAGCATATAGAATAAGTAGAAAAAATTGTATATAATTATATTTTGTGTGTGTAAAGAAATAATAATTAGAAATTTTAAACCAACATTTTTATTATTTCAAAGAATTATTTTTGCTTTAAACAAATTTTAAAATTGAAAATTTACAATTTCCAAATCTTTTATAATTTAAAAACAAAAATAAATTCAAGGACAATCGTTTTTTCTCTATTCTCTCTCCTCTTGAAGAATTTTTTTTTCATATTCTCTTTTTCTTTCAAAATTTTAAATCGACCTTCATCGCATGTGTACGGCTAAAGCGGTGGTAGGGGTTCTTCTTCTCTTTAGTAATGAGGCGTGGATAATTCATTGTTCAGGTGATTTGATGGTTAGAAGATCCAACGATTAGAGTTTTCCCTCGAGTCGGATCTGGTAATTGGTCAAGAACATTGGTGAGATCGTGATGGCATGTGTAGCCATGTATTCTGTTATACTTCGTGTAGCTGACTATATTTTTTCCATTAATTATTACCTTCATCGTATATAATTGAAACTGAAATAGTATCTGCTACTTTATTTTTCTTCAGATTGTGATGATAAATGAAAAGAAATCGTTTGCGAAAAAAAAACAATCAAAAATAACTAGTTTACAAACTTTGCTTCGTGCTTCTATATATAGGAGAATAAAGTTTTATTTTCTGATATTTATTTTATTAATAAAATATTTAAGGAAAATTTACTCAACCAATAGCATTGAGAGTTTATGATTCGCGTTATATCTCGACATCAATGATTGTTTTTTTTTTTGAATTTTAGATAAATGACTATTGAAGATAGTGGAAAGATAAGTTTTAAAGGGTTTTTTTTTTTTGGTTTTACATAAATGATTGTTGAAGATAGACATGACCACGGTTACGGTTATTACGGTTACGGTTATAATTTTTTTTTAACCGTAACTTTAATCACTATATATACAGTTAAAATGGTTACGGTTAAATACAATTACGGTTATATACGGGTATGGTTATATGATGATTATAATACGGTTCATATCGGAGACGAAATCTTACAATTTACGTAACTTTTGATACTACTTTTAATAAGATGAAAAAATACGTTATAAACCAATTTGAGCAATATAACATTACAACATAATTATTTGAGAAAAAAACTATTACTTATAATGAGATTTTTTCATATGCGGTATTATTTACTTTTTCAAAAATCTTTATCTGAACATTCGATATTTGTTTTTTCATTATAAACAATTACAATTATATTTTAAATAACGTTTTTGATACATTTACGGTTAATTAGTGGTTACGGTTAGTATATATATTTAACATTATCCAATCTAGTTTTACGGTTAACGGTTATGGTTTTTAACCGTTTATACAGTTACAGTTGAGAAATGGTCCGGTTACGGTCCAAAATAAAGTTACGGTTAGGTTTTGATCATGCCTAGTTGAAGATAGTGGAGAAATAATTTTAATTTGATATAGTTTTTATTATTTAAACTTTTTTTATTATTTTGTACAGCTTTTTATAAATTTTTATTGATTGGTAACAATAATATTGTACTACTTTATAATTTGTCACCAATCATAGCTTATAGAATAAGTAGAAAGAATTCTATATAATTATATTTTGTGTGTGTAAAGAAATATAAATTAGAAATTTTAAACCAACATTTTTATTATTTCAAAGAATTATTTGTGCTTAAAACATATTTTAAAATTGAAAATTTACAATTTCCAAATCTTTTATAGTTTAAAAACAAAAATTCAAGGACAATCGTTTTTTTCTCTATTCTCTCTCCTCTTGAAGAAATTTTTTTTTCATATTCTTTTTTTCTTTCAAAATTTTGAATCGACCTTCATTGCATGTGTACGGCTAAAGCGGTGGTAAGGGTTCTTCTTCTCTTTAGTAATGAGGCGTGGATAATTCATTGTTCAGGTTATTTAATGGTTAGAAGATCCAGCGATTTGAGTTTTTCCTCGAGTTGGATGTGTATAAGTCTAGATACAATGGTCATTTTTTAAACAGTTGAATAACTAATTCAACTGTTGAACCATTACAATGATATGTTGAATAAAAGAAAAATGATAATGTGGAGATAACATGGTTAAAGAGATACAACGATGTTGAAACAAAAAGAGATGGGTCTCACTGTGACACATGGCAGACACTGAATGAGCGATTTTTTAATTATATGATAATATTTGGATAAAAACATGTGTTTTGTTTCTATTGGATGCCGAGATTTTAGATATTTCTTATCCAACCCAATTATTTAAGATCAATTATGTCAGAGAATATTAAATTTTATTTTAATATTTTAATACCAAAATTCATCATTTTCATATTCTACAAAGAGAAACTTGTTTCACTTAATTTGGCCACACAAAAAAACTTACTTTTTTACTATATACTAGATGAATACCCACGCTACGTTTGGGTTTGTTTTGAAAGTTATTAACAAAATTAAGTTAAATAATAAAATTATGGAAAATTATAACATGAATGTGGAAAATTATGCATTTAAGTTATTAACAAAATTATGCAGTTAAATAATAATTATTATATCATAACATAACATGAATGTGTTATATACGACAACTATATATAAATTAAATTAAAATTATATTCACATAATTATTTTTACCGTACATATACATTAGCAACATATATGTATCATAGACAATTAATTATTACCTTCATCGTGTATAACTGAAACTGAAATAGTATCTGCTACTTTATTTTTCTTCAGATTGTGATGATAAATGAAAAGAAATCGTTTGCGAAAAAAAACAATCAAAAACAACTACTTTACAAACTTTGCTTCATGCTTCTATATCAAAGCTGCATGGAATCGGAAGCGGGTACGCGGAAGCGGAAGCGTTTGGAAGCGGGAAACGAGTTAAAAAAAAAAAAAGGAAGCGAGTACGTATTGGAAGCGTATATACAATATAATATAATATATATATAACAATAAACATAAAATTATATTAAAATAAAATGTTTTAAACAACTAATGCAATACATAATTTAAATATCGCAACATATTTAAAAATAAAAATAGCGCTTGGAGTCACATGTTGATACCGTTATCATTCTCACTTTCATCAACTCTATCAAATACAACAGCCTCCAACTCTGGTTCATCAAGGGAAATATCTGCAAACTCAAGTCTTCCTACATTAATCTCATCCAATGAATCAAACTGATCACCTCCAACATCCCACATATGGTTGGGACCTTCTTTATAAGTAGCACTCTTCCTAGATAGAAGACGAAGATTAGTGTGAACAAATACCAAATCTTCAGCTCTTTGTGGAACAATCTTGTTTCTTGTTGCAGAATGTATGAACTTGTAAGCAGGCCCGGCCCTGGACAAATTTTAACAACACATTTGTATTGGGCCTCAAATTTCCGAGGCCCATTTTGTGAGATTTTCTTTTTTTTTTTTTTTTTTTTTTTTTTAAAGCTCCACAATTAGTAAAATAGGCCTCAAAATTAGTAAAATAGACCTCAAAATTAACAAAAAAAAACCCCATAATTAGTAAGAAGGCCTCATAATTAGTAAAAATCTTATAATTAGCAAACAATGTCCAAAAATTAAGAAAAAATGTTAAATAAAAATTGTAAATGGCCCATAATTAGCAAAAAAAAAAAAAAAATTAACAGTTTTTACTTATTAAAAAGGCCTCAAAATTTTTTTTCGTATTCGGCCTCCGATTTTACCGAGCCGGCCCTGCTTGTAAGTACTCCAATTCCTTTCGCAACATGAGGATGAAGAAGGTTGTCCAAGCAACTTAAATGCTAAGGTTTGAAGCTTTGGCGCTGAAGATCCATGAACTGCCCAGCATCTCAAAGGTTCTAGAATAAATCTATCATGAATTGCATCGACATTACCAAAATCTTCCAAGAATAAAGAGAAGTTAGAATATTCAACATTAACCTCTCTCCTTTCATCTTGATTTGGAAAATACTTCATAATGCAATTTTTTCTTTCTCTAGTAATCTCCATATCTTGATGTGGAGCTTTTCTATTGTTCTCTTCTCCAAGCCATTCTGAACTATAGTATCTGCAGTATCCAACGAAAATATATAATAATTATGCTAATTAAATACACAAGAAGTTAAAAGCCACAATAATCCATAAACCGACACACACTTATGAAGATGTTAATTGCTTTTCTACCTTTATAGCCCGTCAGACACACATCTCGTTTCTATATGAGAATAGCAACGTATTTCTTTAAGTAATTTCAACGTAGTTCTTAAGTAATAACTGAAATCTAGCTTTCAATACCCATTTTATATTTTATATCTTGAGTTTTAAGAGAACGAACATGTTATTAATTCATCAAAAAAAGACAAACAATAATAAATCAAGTTATTTACCTGGGATTTAGAGAGTGTGCCATACAATGAAGAGGAGTGTTACTCTTGCTCCATCGAGATGTCAAAACAAAATGAATAGCATTCCAAAAGACAGAATCATCATCAAGTTGTTTTCTCTCTTTTTAAAAAATAGCCAACTTCACATCTTGAATCATACTTTCCCACCATTCATAGACTAGATGAAGAGAAGGCTTATCAGTATCCGCAGCTCTAATCACGCTATAGATGGGCAAAGTGAAAGATAAAGCATATTCAAGCTCATCCCAAAACATCTCATCTAATATCTTCTTCTTAACTGCAGATGCTCTATCCACACGATCTTCTTTATAATCATCCCATTTAGGACTGATTACCATTTGTTGCAGCCCGATTTTAATTTTTTTTAATCGTTTTAACATTACAACCGTAGAGGCAAACCGGTGGAAGTAAAATTTAGTAAACTTTATATGTAACAATGTAAGTAAGATTTCAACAAAACAAAAGAGATTACAAACCTTGTAGAAGCTATTGTAAGGAGCTTAAGATCACAATGTTCGGTAAACATTACAAGCCTCATTCCATGGTTCATTATGAAATTCTTGATCCAAGTCACATCCTCACTTATAGACTTTATCCAATAACAAGCTTCATATACAACTTCATTGTTTCTTGTGCTCAATGATGGTGCACATATGTTCTTCAACGCAAGGTTCAAGGTGTGGACTACACATGGTGTCCAAAAGATAGTAGAAAACTTGGCTGAAATAAGAGCACCTGCTTTCACACTATTTGAAGCGTTGTCGGTGACTACTTGAACCACATTCTCATGTCCGACCTCCTCTATGCATTCTATGATCAATTCTGCAATCATCTCACCGGTTTTTGTCTCACCTTGACTATTGATCGCCCTTAACATCATTGGACCACTCTCATTTGCAGCAATCAAGTTAAATATCGGTCTTCGTTGTGGATCCGACCAACCATCACTACATATACTAACTCCTTTTTGTTTCCATGTGTTCTTCAAAGGCTGCAAATGCATGTCAATGTTTTTTCTTTCTTTTTGAAGAAGTGTAGTTCTTAGGGAATTATATCCAGGAGGAAGATATCCTGGAATTTGTGATGCACGTACAAATGAGTTACGATAATGAGGATTTCTCGCAACGTTAAAAGATAAACCAGCTGTGTAGAACATCCTAGCTAGGGAGCAATGTCCTAGCTATCTCGCCATCACATTGCTCCCTAGCTTGACTTTAAAATGCTTTATCTAAAGGACCCATTCCTTTCATTTTCTTTGGATCAGGCTCACTTGTGTTAGAAACTTTATAGTTCATATCATAATCAAGAGAAGAACTACACGATTTTCTTGATGACGAAGGCAATGGAACTCTTTTAGGAGCTGCACGTTTTATCCTCTCTTCACATTCATCAACTAATTTTTTTATGTGAGCTTTCTGTTGATGAGTAACCTTCAAGCATCCTTTAATTCCCTTAACTCCCTCTTGTAACAAATGAGCCTTGACTCTACTATGAGATCCAACATATAAATTATTGCAAAATTTGCATTCAAACTTCTATGATCCTCCCCCTGCCAACTTCTCATTCTTGTTAACATAGATCCACAAAGGTGCTTTATCATCCACGTTAGAGGACTCATCAATATTTAGAGGATCTTGAGACATACTAGCGATATCGTTATATATCTGGGAAATACAATTCTTAGCTTCAATACGTTTGAATAGTTAATAATAAACTAACAACAAGTACATATATATATATATATATATATATATATATACTAATCTTTTTTTTTTTTTTCGTCTAGATTTATTATTTATTATAAATTATGAGAACTGTTACATAGACGATTCTACAACGGACAATTCCTTCCGACCCTTATTAAATTCACGACAGACGACACCTCCTTCATGCTCACCTCCTTCACCTCTTTCTTCATGCTCTTGATGGACACTTCTCTTTCTGCGTAGAATCCTGACGAACGGCTATAATTGTACATCGCTGGAGATCTCCTGCACACTTGCCTCCAATAATCTGCAAATTTATTAATAAATCGCATTATCTGGGACTCGAACCCCAGACCTCTAGGTGTAGAAGCATTAATTAACCCTTGGTCAACCAATGGACCAAGGGGCTTCCACATATATATACTAATCTAAAACTGAGAATTCACAACCACAAAACAAAGTACAAAAATCAAACAATTGACACGATTATAGAAACTGTCACTATAGAGTATAAACAATACGAACAACATTCTATAAATTATACGGAAAAAAAAAAAAAAAAAGTACAATTAGATGAATATTCAGAAAACTAGATTTGAATTTACCTTTTTCTTTTGCTTCTGCTTCTTCTAGTTTATGATTTGGGAGAAAAATTCAATAGCTTACACATGACGATTGACCTCACCACTTCTCAATTTTGGTTCCTCTCTGTTTCTTTATTAGTACATTAGGTTTTAACTTTTACTTTGTTTTCAAAGTGGGCTAATTGGGCCCAAACATAACTTTTTTTTTATGTTTTCTACAAATTATAAGTCCCAAATAAATAGTTTTGACTTGTCTCATCTTCTTTATCTTCGATTTACAGCGGAGACGTTTCCGATCTCTACCATTGACGCTTCCACAGCTGAATCGTGCGCTTCCTTCGCGTTTCCAAACACTTCAATTTGTGAATCGCGATTCCGAGGCGATTCCAAGCGATTCCGAGCGCTTCCACTCCACTTCCGCTTCCGGAGCGAGAAACGCCTCACAAGAGCCGATTCCATGCAGCGTAGTTCTATATATAGGAGAATAAAATTTTATTTTCTCATATTTATTTTATTAATAAAATATTTAAGGAAAATTTGCTCAACCAATAGCATTGAAAGTTTATGATTCGCGTTATCTCTCGACATCAATGATTGTTTTTTTTTTTAATTTTAGATAAATGACTGTTGAAGATAGTGGAAAGATAAGTTTTAAAAGGTTTCTTTTTTTTTGGTTTTACATAAATGATTGTTGAAGATAGGCATGACCACGGTTACGGTTATTACGGTTACGGTAATAATTTTTTTTTAACCGTAACCTTAATCACTATATATACGGTTAAAATGGTTACGGTTACATACGATTATGGTTATATACGGGTATGGTTATATGATGATTATAATACGGTTCATATAGGAGACGAAATCTTACAATTTACGTAACTTTTTATACTACTTTTAATCAGATGAAAATTACGTTATAAACCAACTTTTCTTCATTTGAGCAATATAACATTACAACATAATTATTTGAGAAAAAAAACTATTATTTATAATGAGATTTTTTCATATGCGGTATTATTTACTTTTTCAAAAATCTTTATCTAAACATTCGATATTTGTTTTTGCATTATAAACAATTACAATTATATTTTAAATAACGTTTTTGATACGTTTACGGTTAATTAGCGGTTACGGTTAGTATATATATTTAACAGTATCCAATCTAGTTTTACGGTTAACGGTTATGGTTTTTAACCGTTTATACAGTTACAGTTGAGAAATGGTCCGGTTACGGTCCAAAATACGGTTACGGTTAGGTTTTGATCATGCCTAGTTGAAGATAGTGGAGAAATAATTTTAATTTGATACAGTTTTTATTATTTAAACTGTTTTTATTATTTTGTACAGCTTTTTATAAATTTTTATTGATTGGTAACAATAATATTGTACTACTTTATAATTTGTCACCAATCATAGCCTATAGAATAAGTAGAAAGAATTGTATATAATTAAATTTTGTGTGTAAAGAAATATAAATTAAAAATTTTAAACCAACATTTTTATTATTTCAAAGAATTATTTGTGCTTTAAACATATTTTAAAATTGAAAATTTACAATTTCCAAATCTTTTATAATTTAAAAACAAAAATAAATTCAAGGACAATCGTATTTTTCTCTATTCTCTCTCCTCTTGAAGAAATTTTGTTTTTTCATATTCTCTTTTTCTTTCAAAATTTTGAATCGATCTTCATCGCATGTGTACGGCTAAAGCGGTGGTAAGGGTTCTTCTTCTCTTTAGTAATGAGGCATGGATAATTCATTGTTCAGGTGATTTGATGGTTATAAGATCCAGCGATTAGAGTTTTCCCTCGAGTCGGATCTGGTAATTGGTTAATAACATTGGTGAGATCTTCGAGGTGTATAAGACTATATACAATGGTCATTTTTTAAACAGTTGAATAATTAATTCAACTGTTGAACCACTACAATGATATGTTGAATAAAAGAAAAATGATAATGTGGAGATAACATGGTTAAAGAGATACAACGATGTTGAAACAAAAAGAGATGGGTCTCACTGTGACACGTGGCAGACACTGAATGGGCGATTATTTAATTATATGATAATATTTGGATAAAAACATGTGTTTTGTTTCTATTGGATGCTGGGATTTTAGATATTTCTTATCCAACCCAATTATTTAAGATCAATTTTATCAGAGAATATTAAATTTTATTTTAATATTTTATTACCAAAATTCATCATTTTTCATATTCTACAAAGAGAAACTCGTTTCACTTAATTTGGCCACACAAAAAAACTTATCTTTTTTACTATATACTAGATGAATACTCACGCTACGCTTGGGTTTGTTTTAAAAATTATTAAAATAAATTTTTACCTCCACCACTATTCCAAATCAAATGGCAAATCTTCTAAATCGAAAGTGAAAATTAGCTCTAGATGAGATCATACCATATTAGGTGGAGTCACTTCATTTTATACGCTTTCTTAAAATTAACGGGGAGTTTCTCATGTTCAATGTCTTTCATCTTTACCTCCTTCATGAACATATTGTCCTTTTCTTTAACCAACTTTTCCATCTACTCCTTTTCGATTTTTCAGTTTCTCCAAAATTGTAACATAAAAATTCTTGAGATTTACGACATCATATTAATTTTTACGGATAAGAGATCAAAACATCATACTTGGTGATTTATTTGTTCATCTTGACAGTCCGTTCAAGGGAAAAAACCCGAAAAAACCGCTATCTATTTTTTTTAGCCGTTTAATACGTGTAGTATTAAATTTGGAATAAAAACATCTCGTTTAATTTCGATTGTCTTTTAAAATCTTCGTTTTTAAAAAATTGGTAAAATCGTACCCCCGAGTTAACGACTGTTAACTTTGCTAACGGAAGAACTAACTGTGGTTAAAACTTAACCCATGGTGTTTAAGTATATATATACATTCTCTGTCAGAAAACTTACGAATATATTGTTGGAGCGAGATGGTTAAATGTGGGAAGACTTCGAGACCAAACCCAAAACCCAGAAACTCAGAGATCAGAGCACTCAATTGAAAAATTCTTGAAACAAAATGCAAATCTATTCAACGAAATCTGGAAATAAAACAAAAGCAATTCTCGATCTCTCTCCAGAAATTAGATCTACCCAAAAGTGTCCACAAAATCTCAGATCTGCATTTGCTCCATCAAAAACTTCACAATTGGATCTAATCAAACAACATTCAAAACCCAAAGTCAGACATATATATATATAATCAAATCAAACAAGTGATTTAAGATTCCTAAACCCATAAGTTTCTTTTTACTCTGGTATGATTCCAAATCCCTAAACACTATATTTCTCGAAAAAATCCAAACTTTTTCCATGAACTTCTCAAATTGCAGAGGCGCTAATCAAACAAACAATGGATTAAGATTCAGAAACTGAGGAAAATAGAGGATTGAAAAGGAGATGCTTAGTCTGCACATATACTTCACAAAGAAGACGAAGACCAAAAAAAAAAAAAAAATGTTTTAAAGTGACGTCGGAGAGTTTCGAACTCGGGTTCGAGTGGACAATACAACACACGTTTAACCACCAGGAGAAAATGTCTCGTGAGTCCCCTTTTGTCTAAGCATCGTCTCATATCTCCCTTGAGAAAACATAATTTTATTTTTATTTAATTTTAAATCGAAAACTGTGGATATTACTGCTATACCCCAACCGAAACATCAATATTACTGCTAAAACCTGGATCTATTCGAACCAGACCCGATCCATCTCGACCCACCCATAGAACCATAACCAAAAAATCGATTCTTCTTCTTTTGCGTTTTAACTTTGTTTTTGAAATCAAAAACTCATCCCCAATTCAAAGAGAAAACCCTAAACGTTGGAGATTCTCTTGCTCCGACTTCCTCTCCTCTTCAAATCTCCCCAGAAACTGTAATTGAGAGATTACGAAAGAATCTTCCAACTTTATTGATTCCTTTTCTCGTTTCTTGTATCTCGTTTCGAAACCTCTCGATAAAGAGGAAGAGAGTAGCAAAGGCAACAACGGTGGAGCCAGGCTCGACGGAGGAGCCATCCCCGACGGTGGGGCCATCCAACACAACGACGGTGGAGCCAGGCTCGACGGAGGAGCCATCCCCGACGGCAATTGAGGGAGAAGGAGTTGAAGAACAACAAGTCCCGGGGACCTTAAGTCCGGTTTTAGAAGAGTCAGACAAGAATGAAGAAGAAAATTCTGAGAAGAATGAGGAAGAAGAGAGTGGCGAAGAAGAGAGCGAAGAAGAAGACAAAGAAGAAGAGAAAGAAGAAGGGAATGAGGAAGGGAATGAGGAAGGAGAGGAGTCCTCCGATGATGATGGTAGTAGATCTTTGGGCGGAGAGTCCTCCTCTGATGAGAGTAAGAAGGATGAGATTGCGCCAGAAAATCAGCCGGAAAATGCTATGGTAAGTATTTGAATAGTGTGAAACTGGTAGAACAGGGTAATACTATGTGTATATCTGGGTACTACTGGTAGAACAGGGTAAAACTATTGTTTATTGGTATAACTGGTAGAATTGGGAATACTATGTGTTTGAATTCTGGGTATAACTGGTAATACTAGGGCATTACTATATGTTTGATTTCTGGGTAATACTGGTATTACTAGGGTATAACTATGTGTTTGAATTCCTGGTGAAACTGGTATTACTGGGGTACAACTATGTGTATATTTTTAGGGTAATACTGGTAATACTATTCCCAGAATAATGATATATGAATGAATGTCTGTTCTGTTGCAGGAGATCGACGAGGAAACAGAAGCAATGCCACCGCTGAGTATGTATTTCCCGCCTTCGGAATATGTGAAGAAAATCAAGCTATCAACTCGGTGCTATATTCACGAAGTGTTGACTACAGTCGATAAGTTGGAGCCTCCGATGAGCAAGTCTGAGAGGGCATTTTTTGAGAATCATCCGAGTTTCCAACACGTCTTCCACATGCCAAGAGATCCAAACCACCGAGTTATGGGAATGTGGATGCTCCTTCTTCACACGGCGCGCATTGAAAGGAAGAAGGAAGTGTGGTTCATCGTCAATGGCGTTCCAATCCGATATGGTATATTGGAACATGCATTGATATCGGGCTTCAATTGCAAAAACTATGCACTTGGGTATAAAAATGTGGGAAGTACGGTGTTCAAGACGAAGCATTTCAAGAATGCTGTTGTGAAACGTGAAGACGTGAGAGAGAAGCTCTTAAAAATGGTACCGAAGGGTGAAAGATCTAAAGATAGGTTGAGGATGATGGTCCTCTATTTCCTAACCAGCATTATTGTAGCGCCTATCAAGACCGGGGAAAAGGCACCTGAAGTGGATGAATTGTGTCTAAAGGCTGTAAATGATCTTGCGTTTTGTAAGAATTTTCAATGGGGGAGGTATTCTTTTGAGTACATATGGCCGGTTGCGGGTTTCTGTCTTCCGATAGAGGTTAGTTACAAGTTATAGTAATTGGTGATTGTTTGGAATACTGGTAATACTGGGAATACTATTTATTAGGAATACTGTTTATTACAGGAATACTGGTAATACTGCATATTAGAAAACTAGTAATACTGGTATTACTGTTGAATCTAAATATATGTTTTTTTATTCTGTAGCTTCTTGCATTCGAGGCAATCCCACTGTTGAGGGAAAAATTCATTGAGGACATTGCAGGAGCAGATGAGGGATGTCCTAGGATGTGCAAGGTGAAGTTCAAGAAGAACCATTTGAAAGGCATTCCTCTTGATACTATTAATCATGAATTGGGTACAACTCAGGTTAGTTGTCCTATATATTCTGTTTTATGAAACGTTTGCTATTCTATTTAATTATAATAATCCATATTTGTTTATGTTTATAGGTCATTGATTGTATCGTCTCACCTAGAATTGAAGAGCACGCACTTATGAGAGCAATCACGGAAGAAGAAGACGACGTTGACATAGCTGATCCGGTGGTGGAAAGTTGGTTGAAGCGTCATAAAGAGGGCCGTCTAATCAGGTTTGAAGAGTTGTACCAACAGGATCTATAGGCCCGAGGAATCATCGCAGGACCAGAGATTGCGGGTGGTGAGGATATTCCCGCAGTAGATGGATAAGAACTCCCGAGTTTGGCTGCTGTGGTGGAGATGATTCAAGACATGAAAGTTGGGATGACAGATCAGCTGAATGAAATCCTAGTAATGATTTCAGGGTTGGATGATACAGTTAACTCGTTGGATAAAAGAGTTAAATCGTTGGAAGCATTCAGGGAGGTGCAAAAAGTAGATAAGAGAAAGGTACGATTTGTAATACTGGTATAACTGAGTAATACTGGTATTACTGTGATATAACTTTGTTCAATTGCAGGATCAAGAAGAGAAGAATCAAGAGAAGGATGGTGACCCGGAAGAGACAACCCAAGAGAAGGATGGTGACCCAAAAGATACAACCCAAGAGAAGGATGGTGACCCACAAGTAACCAAGATGACGACTCGGAGCAAGAGACAGCTTGGTTGACTGATTTGTCTCTTTGATGTTTGGATTTGAACTTGGATTTGTTATGTTAATTGTTTTGGATTTGTCTTGTTAGGATTTGAATTTGGATTTGTTAAGTTAGTTTTATAAATTTAATTAAGGAATACGGGTAAAACTAGTAATACTGATAATGGTAATACTGGTAATACTAGTAAAACTGGTATTACTAATTAAGGAATACGTGTAAAACTAGTAATACTGATAATGGTAATAAGCTTACAAAGCATAGGAAAGTCTCACAAATCATAGAAAAGTCTTACAAAGCATAGACAAGTCTTACAAAGCAAAAAATAAGCTTACACATTAGTGAGCGACTAACTCCGAACGCATTTCTCTGCTAGATGAGCGACTAACTCCTTCAGTTTTTGGATCTCCTTACCATTACCTTTCAACTCCGAACGCATTTCTTCTTGATAGTACTCCAAGCTTTGAATCTTTTTGTGATGGGTATCAACCTCCTCCCTTAAGTTAGTCACCTCTTCTTCCATAGCTTTATCCCAAAGTTTCCGAATGTGTAAACCATCATTCTACAATACAAGAATTATATACCGAGATCAATTATTCAACATACATCTGGGTAAACTAGTGTAACTAGTAATACTAGTGTAACTAGTAATACTACATACATCTGGGTAATACTAGTGTAACTAGTAATACTACATACATCTGGGTAATACTAGTGTAACTAGTAATACTACATACATCTGAGTAATACTAGTGTAGCTAGTAATACTACATGTTTACGGGTAATACTAGTCTAACTAGTAATACTACATACATCTGGGTTCTCAGAGATCTACCAGTTCTACCAGTTTTACTTTCGCGTCAATAATGATACTATCTATTTACCTTATACACGTTGCATTGATAGTATCTCTTCCCTTTGTCACCATCGTTCTCAGAGATCTTGTCGAGGATGCGTCCACCACAAGGACATCTTGTCGAGGATGCGTCCTAAACTTCTATTTCATGCTCTATGCAGCTAAAGGAACTAACCTGTCTCACCGCAGCTCACCGGAAGATCGCCAGAACGGAAGAAACGGCAACAATGCAGCTCGCCGGAGGTGGAGCTCGAGATAGAGAAGAGAGTCGAAGAGAGCTCCCGTCGTTTTTTTTTTCTTTTTCTGGGTTCGGTTTTTTCTTTTTTTGTTTAATTAAATTTCAAATAAATCAAAAATAATACTAATAAATAAACAGAGGGTAAAATCGTCAGATCACATTTCATTAATTGAGAAGGGGATATGTAGACAAAAAAGGGATATAAGAGGTTTATGGTTTACAAAAGGGGAGTTGTGAGACATTCTCTCAACCACCAGACTATGATAATATATTTGTATATGTTTGAAAAGAGATTGTATATATATACGTAAACACCATGGGTTAAAGTTTAACCGCAGTTAGTGTTTCCGTTAGCAAAGTTAACAGTCGTTAATTCGGGGGTACGATTTTACCAATTTTTTAAAAACGAAGATTTTAAAAGATAACCGAAATTAAACGAGTTATTTTTATTCCAAATTTAATACTACACGTATTAAACGGCCAAAAAAAAATAGATGACGGTTTTTTCGGGTTTTTTCCCGTCCGTTCAACAATGAAATAGTATATTCACAGTTTTTATTTCCTTCGGTTGTGTAGAACAAAAGCAAGTTTCCGATATTAACTTACAATATCATGTAAAAATATATAAACCCTATTAGTGTCTACCATATTTGCATGGGCTCTTAGAGCAGATCACAACTCGAGCCACTAAGACTTTGCGTCCATCAGCAAGTTTCCTTTATTGACCAAAAAAGTGAAGTATATATATATGATTCATCAATTACATAGATGTTTATGATTTAGAATATGTTAATATGTTATTGTAGATTAGTTACCTCTTTACAAGAATAATCTCTCTATCAGTTTCACACATCTTTATGATTAGAGAAACCATTTTTTGATGAATTTTCCTGGAACTATGTGTGATTTAATTTTGTAGATAACCTCTCTGAGATGAATAAGTGATATATCACGGATTTTACCGGTTTTAACCGTGATATATGTATAGGTTTTAGAGTCCTTTTGTTATTTCTAGAGTCTTTTCTAGTCTTTTTCAGGTCTTTACATGTTTGGGATTCATTTGGAGATAATGGAGCATTCTGGAGGAAAACAGAGAATTTATGCTGCAGAAGAAATCCGGAGACTAAAAATTGCGTAGGTGTCGATCGACACCACCCCTGGTGTCGATCGACACCAATACCTGACGGCAATTCAAAAACGCAACTTATTGAAGTTATGAAGATTTGCAGATTCGGCCCAAAAGTTTCTCTTATTTTTAAAGAAGGCCCAGCACGTTTTTAAGACTTATATATATAGTTTTAAGGTCATTGTTTAGACCTAAGCTTGGGAGAGACTATTCTCCTTATCTATTCTGTTCTTGGGAGCAAAACCCTGTGGAGACTCATTTTAGAGAAGATCTTTCTTAACTCATCTCTTTTATTGAATTTCTTTATGCTTTCTATTCATAACATGTTGTTTGTTTCAATCTCCATGTCTGAGTAGTTTGCTTGTTAGGTTTAGGGATTCTCAATAGGGATTTAGATGAATTAGTAGATCGATAACCTGTTAGGATAAAATCTATAGAGTTCTTCACTTTTGATTGTTCTTAATGCTGATTCTAGAGTAATTAACTAGAATTTGATCTTAGGATAATAAGTAGATTTGAGAGGTCATCTATTACTGGAACTATCTTAGGTGGGCAGAAATTACTAGATACATTCGAGAGGTGGTCTAGGAATATCTGTGAACAAATCAAACCTGTTATTAATGCTAGTCTAATTCTAGGAGTTTACATTCGAGAGGTGGAACTTCCTGATATTAGGTTTAGTTAGTCAATTCATACGAGAGGTGGTTGGCTATAAATTAGTGATTTGAATTCTAGGACGGTTCGTTAATAATTCTAATTAATTTGCTAGATCTACTATTTATTTATTTCTTGAGCAATCTCTAAGCCTGACGTTTTCTTCATCTGAATCTA